GTGTGTGTGTGTGTGTGTGTGTGTGTGTGTGTGTGTGTGTTACTCACAGCACAGTGCCTTTTGCAGTCTGCGAATCTTCATGGCCGTGCGATATGCAGACAATCTCACGTTATTGAGGTCCACTACAGGGAGGAGAAGAGACAAAGTGAAGAAAGGTAAATGGAAAACAGAAAAAACGATGAGTACGAGCGACCTCTGCCTGCAGGGCCTCACGGGCTGGCTTTGTGTCTTCACTGAAACCTGGCTTCTGTTCATTTATGTCTAGGACGGAGACTGAATTAGGGCGGTGCTAATGTGGACGGTGTTAATTAGGTTAGAAAGTTTTGTCTCTAAAACAGGACGTTGCTATTTGTTTGAGCTGCTGGCCTCCAGAAAACCCTCCCGACGTTTTCAAAGGTTGATGCCAATCAGGCTGCTCGTTAAAGAGGAGTCACACCGGCCACCCCTCAGGGATGCAGACATGACTCTGGATACTGACAGAGGAGAAGAAAGGAGGTATTTAACTGTACGTTAAATGCCATGTTAACACACCTCTTGGACAAACTCCTTATCTTATTTATAAAGTGAAAAAGTAGTAAATAATCCACCTGCAGCTCTTTTCAGAATGAGTTTTACATCAATTGTTAATGAATTGTTACTTTTTAGTCTTGCCAACTTAGAGCAACTCGCTTCAAGCAGATCTGCTTTTTATGGCWGCAAAGAGACTTTCTGTTTGTGATTTAAGATAATTTCAGCCACTCTTTGACAAAACACTTCAGATTCAGAGGATATGTTTAATCATCTTGCTGACTGGTTGACATTTTGATCCACAGCAATCCTACTTTAGACAGCATACAGTTTTAAATTGTGGTCAAAKAATTTATTTTCACCTCAAATTTCCACAGCACCGGTTTAAAAAAAAAAAAAAGGATCTAGTTTATCATTTCACGTCCCCCTAATGGGGCGCTCTTGTTTTGAAAGGATTCCTTTCCCATCTCCTGTCAGTCACTCGGAGGAGGCATTTTTGTGAGTTCTACGAATTTATCTGACAAACTGACCTTCTTTGAGCCCCGGCACATAACTACATTTGTTCAGACTTAGGACTATGCACAGTTTTGCAGATGCACCATGTGCGTCTTGTACCTGCCAGCAGGCCAACACACGCAGAATAACAATGAGTCTAGTATCTGTGCTTGTGTCGGCCCCCGTGTCCCGGTGCAGAAAAGCAGAGAGATATTTCCTGTACTTTTTCAGGCTTACTTGTTTATTTATTTATTTATTTTTCTGTGACGGCCTAATATGCTCCCCCTCTGCCACCTCTAAACAGTTTCCCAATTCAATAAATGAACATCGGGATAATAACAAGCTTTCTGGAGCAGCTCTTATGGAGTGCTGTGATGTCTAACTCTAATGCCGTTTGATTCCTGCTGATCCATTAAAAGGAAATTTGGTACAATCGCTATGCTGGAGGCACAACTGTAATACATTATCTGATTTTTTTATTTTATCCAAGATATTAAGTATCTGCTAAACACCATTATGCAAGTGTCACTACTTTTAAAGAAGACGTGTCACGCTTTTAAATTCTCCTTTTGCACATTTAAATCATTCAGCTTTGGTCTATGTGGAACTGCAATGCTTTGGTCTGAATTCCTCCTTATTGTAACTCCACAAGCCCCGCCCCTTGTCTGAGGTGTGTCTCAGATCAACTTGTTTTGAGGTTGTCTCTTTAAATCCAAATAAGGCGCTTTAAGCCCCGCCCCCGCCAGCTTCCAGAGCGGTCCATTCTAGTTTGATAGATGGGTTTACGACTATTTAGCTTCGCRGAAAACTTTTATTTGCAAATTAATTAAAAGATATGGAAAGAATTGTCCATCTAGAGTTAAATGTTGGAGCCAGAGTCTGACCCAGAACCAGAGGAGAATGAAGTAATTTAATGCCTTATTTGGAAGTTCTTCTGCAAAAACTTTGATGTAATAGTTCAGAAAACGTCATAGAAGATAGAGAAAACTGAAGATTTGAAAAATATGATCCAAACAGAATATAAAGATATCTTTGCAGCACTAAATTCAACTTTTCTGCACTCCTAGACAGTCAACAAGTGGAGAGCAACATGTATTTAATGGCTAAAATAGTGGGTTTTGCATAAGTCGCTTTAAGAATTTAACACATTTTTGGACGAAGTATTAGGATAAGACCAAAAGTCATGAAACATAGTTGTGTGTTTTGTACCTAATGACTGGTAGAGCTCCGTCATCTTTGGATGATCCCAACAGGTCGTCTGCGTCTCATGACTGAAAAACACAACAAAAAACAACAATTAGACAGAAAAATATGACAAAACTTAAAACTAAAATGCAAAAAACTCAAGTGTTTTCTACACTTGTAGTATCACTAAAGAAAAATACACACAGGGACAGATAAAACAACTGTTTGCACAAAGGCTCATAAGACCAAGGACAGGTACAGCACAAAGAAATCTAGCATTAGCCTGGCACAAATATAAACAAGATCCTATTATAATGTGGTGTTTATTGGCAACTCTTGCAACAGTTTCTGATTTAKAGCTACAGGTAATAAAGTTCTCCAYGAATACAACACAGGAATCCTAAAATACTGAACAAAACAACAAATGCACAAACACACTCACACACTGTGAATCGCTCTCATCACCACAGGGTGTCCTTTCTAAAACCCCGGGAAAAGAAAACAAGGAGACTAAAGTTTCAAGCTCCCATTTCTGCTTTGTACAGAAGTTACTTTTCACCCAAACAAAACCACAGCAACACACACAAAAAAATATCCCTAAATAAATAAAAAATGTTGCATGCCAAAACTGATCAAACAGTTTCTTTATATGCAGCAGGACAAGAAAAATAAGGCTTTTTTTCAGCTGCAGAGTCAAGGCTGGCATGTCTGAGTTCCTCTGGCTCTTCCTGTGTGTGTGTGCATGTATATATTTCAAGATGGCACCTGGCTGTCAGACGCCACACTCAGATCTGTTTTGAGAGGCTTTCTGGAGGGTGGGTTTTTGAAATGCAGAGGTCTCCCTGTGGATTCGGCAGCCAGCTCGCTCTCTGCTGACAGTCGGCGGGAAGTAAACTCGAACTGCAGCCGTGGATGGCATCAGCTCTCCCCGCGCACAGATGTTCATCACTATTCAGCAGCTGCACAGGCTGATAACCTCTTTCACAAGTGAGCAGGCACCGCGAATGCTCGGACCACCCCCTCGCCGAGGACCCACAATGGGCCTGCCTGAATCGTCAATGGGTTTTAATGAATGTGACGCAGGGGATTTGTTGCTATTTGCTCCACACAAGGACAAGAAATGGGAAGAAGAAAACGGGAAATCGAAACCACGTTTTTGTCACTGAATTGTAAAACGGTTTGCCGTAGATAAGGCAGACGTAGTTCAGTGACGGTGCATTTCACATCACTGCATACAAATATTACATTTCTGTGTACGACGAAAACAAAAGCTATTTCCACAGCTCATAAATGTCATAATGAGAACCACTGAGCTCTCAACTATTTTCAGCACTTTCCTTGAACGTTAGCTTTTTTTTTTTCTCCTTACAGTGACAACTAGGAAATGTTTTTCACCCCTCCAAAAAAAGCAAAGTGATGACACAGTTACTACAAAGCTGCTACATGTAAGATAAGAAAAAAACATTCAGGGACTATCAAAAAGAAGAGGGGACAGAACTGAGTATTCTGACACAAGTCTAAAAGCCTTTCATACAGCAACACATCTTCAGTGTACCGCAGGACAGCATGAGGTCTTTTAAATCTAAGGCTGCTTTACAACTACAATAACTTTGGTTTATGAAGGCTTTTTTTTTACAAACAACCTGAGCTGGAGACTTCAAAGACTTACAGGTTGATTGGGAAAAATATGTGGCTTTATATAGGCAGAAATGATATATACTGTAGGTAATAGGATTTACAAGATTAGATACAATATGAGCTGTAAAATGATAGATTAAAGTGTTTCACCTTGAATTATCTTAAGGGTACATCATTACCCATCCAGTGCTACACATTTAGAAATTTTCCCAGAATGATTTCCGTTTATTTGTCACTCTAGAGCACTTATCAAACTCAAGGCCCCTGGGCTTAATGTGGCCCACCACAACATTTTATGTGGCCCATGAGAGCTTCAAAGGTGTATTAATGTTATTAAATTAAAATAAGTGTATGCTGCTTTAAACCCAGCATTGACCATAAAATACATCTCCTGCAATGCATGTTGATAATTTTACCCGCAGAATGGCGGCATCCCACCACTAGTTGGAGGTGCACAGATGTCAAAAGTAGCTGGCAGCAGGTGTAATTTGCTGTGTAAAATCTCCATTTGAATTGCATTTTTGTAGGCTACTTTTGTTGCGGATCAGTTGTACTGGGAAGTGGGATTTTACCACTTACAACATGTATATTTAAACTGGAATGCCCCTTTAGTGGGTATTCTCTGTCAGAAAGTGGGAGAGCTCAGAATTCAAGATGGCAGCTAACTCACCGCAACTCAACAAGTGAGTAAAGCTCTTATCTTTACTTTTCAATTCAATTCAATTCACTTTATTTACATAGCGCCAAGTCACAACATATGTTGTCTCAGGGCACTGTACATAAAAAAAGAACTTCTTCTAAAGAAAAAGCTAGCAGATTGTGTTGAATCACTTCATCACAGTCTCCCATCCTGAGCAATAGTCCAGTCTAGACGTGATAAATGCATGAATAAATTTTTCCGCGTCATTTTTGGACAAAATGTTTCTCCTTTTAGTAATATTACGCAGGTGGAAGAAGGCGGTCCTGGTAACATTTTTAATGTGGGGGTTAAAAGACATATCCTGATCAAAAATAACACCAAGGTTCTTTACATTAAAACTGGAGGCCAGATTAACGCCATCCAGAGGAGGTGAAAGGCTGCAAAGTTGATCCCTAAGATGTCCAGGTCCAAAAACCATAACCTCTGTCTTTTCTGAGTTTAGAAGCAGAAAGTTAAGAGTCATCCATGTTTTTATGTCTGTAAGACATGCTTGTAGTTTAAGTAACTGGTTGGATTCATCAGGTTTCATGGATAAATATAACTGAGTATCATCAGCATAACAATGGAAATTTATCCCATGCTGTTTAATAACTTTACCCAAAGGAAGCATATACAAAGTAAAGAGGATTGGTCCAAGCACTGAACCCTGAGGAACTCCATAACTAACTTTAGTGTAAGAAGAAAATTCATTATTAACATTAACTAACTGAAATATGTCAGTTAAATAAGACAAACCACTTTAGAGACTTTTAATAGTATTTCTGTATTTTTATTTCACAATTAGTAAATCGTACACATACTTTTCAGTGTTTATAAGAGGATGTGTTAAAACGCTGTTYATAAGCAGAAAATACCAGGTAGAGCTCAGTTAGTTTGTTAGTGATGTTCAGTTGTAGCAATGACACGAGGAATATGGTGTTCATGTTTAGTCAAAGTTAAACATGAAACATCAAAGTTAATTACAATGGGCCCTCTGAGGGCCACATAATGCTCATGTGGCTCTTGGTGAAAATGAGTTTGACATCTCTGCTCTAGAGGGAGRCATCAACTCTGACCTATGAAATATGGTTCCGTGTGAACGTCTTCAGCCGTTTCAACCACTGAAAAAGTTACATGTTGAAAAATACTAAATAAAATGTTCTTTCAGGAGCCAAACCATTCAGCCCTTCAGTGTCACTCCACTTTTCTGTCAACGAAATAATACGCTCCAGCCCTTGTGTGACTGATGACTGACTGATATCATGGTAATAATTTGGCTGTCATTGTTGAGTGCCATCGTAGAAAAAACCTGCACCTCGGCGCAGGTGGAGGACACTGATGGCTCTGAAACAAAAGTGCCTCAGTCAAAAGCAAATGGTTTCCATTGTTTGTGGTCTCGCTTAAATTTAGCTGTTAAGGTTGTGCTTGTCGCATACGAAGACATTTAGACCCTAATTATGGTGATTTTTATTAGAATGGCAGGCCATCAAACACAAAATATGATGAGAATGAAAATCTTTGCCCTAAATAGCACCCACAACCGTCACCATTAAAATCGCAAACGAGAAGAAAACTTCTGAAATAATAAGAAGTCCAGAGTGCACTGAAGCAGATCTGGATGCTCAACAAGTACTAAAATACTCTAAATCCTTTGTCCTCCTCTTTTGTCATCACCCTGTATCTTATTTCATAAAATGATGTTTAGTCTTTTTATCTGTACACTACAAATAACCCCTCGAATGTTTCTTATTGGGCTTTTTTTAAAGCTCGTTCGAGTGGACACTCCACTCTGAAACCGGTTTAAATTTTAACACACCAGTGTGTTTGAACTGAACCTGGCAGCTTCACTGGATGAGAACATCTGTGATCACAGGCTGTTGTTAACTTGAAAGCAATAAACCTGTCCTTTAAAGTGCTGTTCAGCTCTGCGCCTTTTATCTCTAATCCCCCCAACTAAAGCCCAGCAGTAGCCACAAATACATCAGAGCTGTCAATGTTTCCTTTTATTTGTCTAAATCCTATATTTTTCATGTCTGTCAGTGACTTTAATATCAGTATGAAAATAGGCTTTTTTATTTCTTATCTGTGGGGAAAAAGTAATAAGAAACAATAAAGGCAATAAGCTACTGTGCGGTTTTGAGGATGGTTGAATATTTCTCACTTTAAAAGAATAACTCGAAGGAAATGCTATCAAGAATAATGATCAAAAACTGCAATGCTTGACTGTCCTCAAATTTCAAAGCAGGAAAAACTTTTTATTTTTGTAGACATTTAAATTCTTAGAAACAAAACTAGACTGCTGCTGTTTGAAGTTAGCAAAACAGCTTAAGGCAATGAGAACTCTAATCAACTGAAATCAATAAACTGGGTCTGCTAATATTTCTGTTTTTTATTTTTACAATTTAAAGTTTTCATACAACAACTCGTGTCTAAGAATTTGTTTCTACCACTGCTTTACTGTCAGGATATGTCAACCCCCTACATGTTGAAACAAAGCCCAACCCTAGTCTTGAAGGAGCTGAACGTTTTGATATATAAACTATTTAAATACACTGCCTGGATTTAACTAAAAACAAATAGGTATGAGCCTCCTGTTGGATAATTACTGCATGGGTAATTATCTTTCAGCTGGTAATAAGTTATTCAACCCCAACTGGTGCAATGAGTTGCTTCTCATTTCTTAAACAACCATGTGGAAAGACACATCCTATGGTCGTGGAAAAGATATTAGTCTGTTTGAGATTGGCACACATCAAGCAGAGAAAACAT